CTTTGTGTTATTCTGTTACAATCCTGACATTCTTCTCATCGGAAAAGAGCGTGCGGGACTGCAGCGTGCTGTGAGGCTGTGCTGCTCACCTCTGCTTCCAGAGGGCGCTGTTGCTGCGTCACTGTTGCTGGGCAGCCCGGCTCCCAAGCCGTTGTTCAGCATGGGACCAACCACAGGTTTCAGCTGCCAGTTCAGCCCCAACAGATTCATGGCTGAGAGAGAAAGAGAGCAATAGAGAGAGACAGGGAAAGAAAGAGTGTAAACAGTGCAGGTAAACGAGAAGAGAAAGGTAGCCAGAAAAAGAAAAGCTTCAGGACTTTGCAAAGGTGACTCTCTACTGCTGTTTCATTGTAAGAGCACAAATGATTTAAAATGAAACAAAATGCTACATCTAAAATGTATAATATTGATCTGTTAAACCTCGTACAGACAGGGAGAGGCCGCAAGATAAAGTAGTTTATTTTGACCCTGAAAAAAAAAAAACCCAGACAGACCAGTCATTTTTATTGATTGCATGACTGATTGATGTTGACTGACTGAGAAGCCATCTGTCACTCATAGGAAGCTTGCATTTGATCCTCAGTCTGATATATGTCACTGCGGCAAGTGTGCATGTATAAAACTAGTCTCAGTGTCTCTGCAATCCTCATGCAATCCTCCCTATATCAGAAAAAGTTCCCTGACTACAGCAATAACTCTACAATATTATTCAAACTCCATTTACACCAAATTTGAACAGTCATCATTTAAAAATTCAACATATGACCTGCTGCCTGCATGTTTAGTTATTAAAGGGATAGTTCATCCAAAAATGTAGACAAAAATGTCAACAGAAAATTCTCTCATTAATTACTCACCCTCATGTCGTTTCAAACCCGTAAGACCTTCGTTCATCTTCGGAACACAAATTAAGATATTTTTGATGGAATCTGAGATCTGTCTGACCCTGCATAGACAGCAATACAACTGAAATGTTCCCAAGTCCAGAGACGTAGCAAGGAGATCTGTAAAATAATCCATGTGACATCAGTGGTTCAACCGCAATTATACGAAGCTACGAGAATGCTTAATAATAATATGCTGTTTATGTCCAGCTGATACTCTCCAAAATGGCGCTACAGGGTGACGTGGACGAGACGAATTGTTAAATAAAGTCGTTGTTTTTTTTTCTTTTGCGCACAAAAAGTATTCTCGTAGCTTCGTAAAATTACGGTTGAACCCCTG